CCCTGACCGGGACTAGAACCCTGTGTGCCGGCGCTGCAAGGCGGAGGATTAGCCTAGTGAGCCGCGGCGCCGGCCTCAAAATTCTTTTATAATCAGCACCCTACAGTTAGTAGCATGCAGATGAAGACCAAAAATCAAACATTACAAGTCATTTTTAACTTACATGAAGCATAAATTATTAAATCCCTACATCATCATAAGTTATTATTCAATGCCTTTAATTAGAGTGACTAAATATAAGAATTCAATATACTTAGCAGTTTTGCTCTTTTTTCTTCCTTTTAGTTATTTCTGTGGACATTTAATTTATAAGCAGATACTTCTTTTTGTATTTGAAATTTGGATTCCTGAAAAAATATTTCATATTGCAAAGGAATGTAAATTAGTATAGCCATTGTGGGATATAGTATGGGAGGTCCTCAAGAAAGTAAAAACAGAAGCATCATAAGATCTGGCAATCCGGCCGGCTCCGGAAACAGTATGGGAGGTCCTCAAGAAACTAAAAACAGAAGCATCATAAGATCTGGCAATCTGGCCGGCGCCGCGGCTCAATAGGCTAATCCTCCGCTTTGCGGTGCCGGCACAGCGGGTTCTAGTCCCGGTCGGGGTGCCGGATTCTGTCCCAGTTGCCCCTCTTCCAGGCCAGCTCTCTGCTGTGGCCAGGGAGTGCAGTGGAGGATGGCCCAAGTGCTTGGGTCCTGTACCCACAATGGGAGACCAGGATAAGCACCTGGCTCCTGGCTTTGGATCAGCGCGGTGCGCCAGCTGCAGCGTGCCAGCCGCAGTGCTCCGGCCGCGGCGGCCATTGGAGGGTAAACCAATGGCAAAGGAAGACCTTTCTCTCTGTCTCTCTCTCTCACTGTCCACTCTGCCTGTAAAAAAAAAAAAAAAAGATCTGGCACTCCCACTACTAGGTATACATCCAAAGGAAATGAAATCAGTCTGTCATTTGCATCTTATGGCAGTACAGTCTGTATTTGCATTTTATGGCAGCACTAACTACTACAGTCAAGAAATGAAAACAAGCTAAGTGTCCATCCACTGGCGAATGGATAAAATATGGTACATACACATAATGGACTCCTGCTCAGCTATAACAGAATGAAATCTTGCCATTAGCAACAATGTGAGTAGAACAAGAGGCTGCTGTGTTCACTGAAAGAAGTCAAGCACTGAAAGACAAGTAGCACATGATCTCAGTCAGATGCCAAATCTAAAGTAAAAGGTAGAGGCCGGGGCTGTGGCACTACACTTTGGACTGCCTACAGTGTTGGCATCCCATGTGGGCAGCAGTTTGAGTCCCAGCTGTTCCACTTCCAATCCAGCTCCCTGCTCCTGGGAAAGCAGCAGAGGATAGCCCAAGTGCTTAGGCTCCAACTGCAAATGTGGGAGACCCAGATGAAGTTCCTTGCTCCACCAGGGCCTGGTCTCAGCTGTTGTGGCCATTTGGGGAGTGAATCAGAGAATAGAAGATCTCTGTCTCTCTGTAACTCTGTCTTTCAAATACCTAAATCTTTTAAGAAAACAAATAATAGATGATCTCATAAAATTTAAAAGTATAATAGTAGTTACCAGAGGTTAGGAAGGGAAGGGGAGAGGATGGAGTGGGAAAAAGTTAATTAATGGGTACTATGTTATAGCTAGATAGGGTAAGAGGTTCTAGGGTTCTATCAAATAGGGTGACTACAGATCATGTTAATGCACTGTGCATTTTGCTATTAAAAAACAGAGATATGATTTTAGATATTTTCATCATAAGGAAATGTTAAATGTTTGAACAGATAAATATATACACCCTAATTTGACATTATACAATGTCTACGGGTGTGGGGAGCAACCCGGACTGGACTGAGTTACTGGAATTAAGACTTATTCTATGTATCTGCTCTCCCACAATATGGCGCTGGGAGAGGAGAAAACAGCTTCTACGCAGCTGCCTCTTGCCAACTTGAGTGATGACCTCCAGGAGCTGATCCTGCTCCTGATTGGAGGAGAGCAGTGTACTCGGCGTGTGGGCAGCCGAGTTGGGATTGGCGGAGGAGGACTATAAAGGAGGAGAGAGACAACATGCACCAGGAACATCTAAGGGGAACATCTATCTGAAGGAACACCTGTGCAGCCCCCGAGAGAGCCGGCCGGTGGTGTGCCGCTCCCCCGCGGAAGTGGGGAATGTGGCAGGGGGAACCGCCCTTCCACGGAGGTGGAAGGGATGGTAGCCAACCTGGGAAGGACCAGCAGCTAACCCGGGAAGGGCCGAGCAGACGAAAGAACAACGCAGGGTCCTGTGTCGTTCCTCCACGAAGACGGGGAGCGACATACGGGTACCAAAATATCACGTAATACCCCAGAAATATGTATAACTTACATATGCTTGTTAAAATATGTATTTCATATTGTCTAAGGGATTCGCAGAAGTGGACAAAAGCCTGAGCCTCTTCCATTTTTTAAGGCCCTCAGTATTTATGTAAATAGTGGTAATAGAAATGCGCAGGGTGGTTACAAAAAAACTATGGATTGTTCCAAAACTTTAAGCTGAACCTATTTAGCTCATCAAGAAATGTTGCATTAGTTCATTTAGAGATGACTAAATTTGAGTTGCTTCACAATTATGAGGCCTTGTACTAGTAGGCCTTCTCCATCTCTACTTGGACATTGCTGCAATTCATTGTTGTCTCTAACTAGTGTTACACTCCATTGGAATATCTCTCTGCGGGGAGGAAAAACTGTTCCCTAGCTTTCATGTCCCTGGAATGGGGAAATAATACAGCAAAAGAGAGCTACAGAGGGCAATGATCATACACTTAGGTATGATTCTTCCTTACCACCTGATAGGTAAGAAGCCCAAGTACGGCTTTTGTAGGCTTCCAGAAGGAAAGAAATATAGGCAACATGTCAATGTGTTACTAAACTGGCATAAATGTTTCAGGCTTAACACTTCCAGACCAGAACTTTAAGATTCTACTATGTCATGGTAAAGGATGGCATAACTCTGTGATGTCTATATTTGCAGATAGATAGTTGGAGGTAGCAGCAGCTGGCCAAGGCAGAATCTTTCTCCCAAAGCAATGAGAAATTTGATCATGTCTCTGGTCCATTCTAACCGAAGAAAACCAAAAAATACAGTCATGAAAACATCAAATACCTTATTCAGTAGAAAAGGTTTTCTAATTTGTTTGGGCCCAGAAAAAAAAAATTTTAAAAGAAGAAAAAGTGAATGCCATTTCTGCACCTGTCAACATACTCTGAACCATTCAAGAATTCCTGGATTTACCGATCTAGTCAGTTCTCTGAACTCTTGTAGAAGACCCTAATCTCCTACCCTTTTATCAACATAGTGTGAGCAACTGAAGAGCAGGGAAATCCTGGTCTTCGTTTTCTTTTCAGCATTATTTAATTTCCAAAGCCATTTAACAGGTGCTTTTTTTTTTTTATGAATAACATGAAGAATGCATGATGCTAGGAAGACAAAGGCTCTCTGGGGTAAGATGTACATAACAAACATGCAGGGTCTTAAAGTTCCTGAAAGGTCCAAGAGAGCTATGGGAGATTCCAACTTAAAAAAAAAATAAATTAGTCTAATACGTGCCATCTGGCTGAAAAGTCTGCTATTCTGACATTTCTGTAAGCATCTAGAAGGAGTAACCCGGTATAGTCACTTTTGTAAACCCTGTTACATGGAGCAAGAGGAATAAAAACTTTGTGTCTTCTTAAATTCCAATGAACTCTTAGAGGAAACTAGGCACTAACTGAAGGTCTTTCTATACATTTCCAATCGCCTTCATACAGTTAATAAAGGACCAAAACCTTTACATTCTGTATCGCTTGGGTTTCTTTTGGTTCCAATTAGTCCACTTCTTAATGGAAGCAAAAACCAAACCAAAACCAAGTCCCAGGACGATCCTCTTTGTCTTGGGCCAGTTATCTGGAGGATAGAATGCTACCGCTGGCTGGATCTGAATGGCAGCCACCCAGTGTGTCTGAAGCAAGTGGGCTGAAGGCTGGGGTGGTAGCTGGGACCTCCAAATAAACACGGGTGTAGTTTCCCAAGCAGGAGTGTGTGCTGGGACACTGCAAGATAGCATTCGTAGACTCCACTTGTTAAAACGCTCACCTATGTTGTGGTGGTGGCCCCCAGAGAGACTGTCTCAGAAACCCAGTCGTTCCTCAGGGAACTATCATGTCGCACCCTGAATCCCAAGCCGCGTTTCCATTTGCTGGCCTCCCGCTTGTCTTCAGGGGCTGAGAACCAGACGGCCTTTCTGTAAGCGGGCAACAGGGAGAACTCTCGTTTTACAGCTCGCAGCCGCCTGCCCTCCGCGGGGCCAAAGGCAGGGGCGCGACCAGACCGGACCACGCCGGGGCGCCCCACCTTCCCAGCGCCGCCTCAGGCACTCGCGCCCGTTTCCCGGGCTGCAAGCCCGGCTGCTCCTTGGCCGCCGCCGTCAACCCGTCCACAGGGCGATCGGAACCGCAGACTGGGGAGCGACCCCCGGGGCCTCCTCCTCCGGGTCGGGCGAGCTGGACGCGCGGAGCCGACCAGGGTGGGAGGCGAGCGGATGGAGGCGGCTCCCGTCCCTCATCCCCGCCTCCGCCCCTTCCCCGGGCGGGCACGCGCGGCCCGGGAGCGGGGAGGCGGCGTGAGGGCGGCGGCGGCAGCGGCGGCGGCGCAGCCGGGCGGGTCCCCGGTTCGCGTCCGAGCTAGCACAGGAGGTTCCCGCACACACGCGGCGCTCGCCCCGCAGCCGCTTCCCTCAGAGCACCGCCCACGCGGTCGGCGCAGCCCGTGTTGCCGGCCGGTTGGGCCCGCGGGGACCCCAGGCGCAGGAGGGGACAGACGACTGCCACCCGGACGCCGCCGAGCGCCGCAAAACAGCCGGGCCACCGCGGAAAACTGCTGCGGTCTTGGCCCCGAGGGTAGGAGGATGCGGGCGAACAGCTGCAGCCCGAGGTAATCACGATGGGTGACGGTGGGGGCCGGTCCTCGCCCAGAAACCCGACCCAGGCTACTTGAAATGCGCACTCCGGCGGTTGCTCACCGCGATCAGGACAAGTTTCTGGAGGCTTGAAATGAAGGGGTACTGAAATCGGCACTTGTTTTTATTTATTCAGCTTCATTTCTACTGTTTAAATAAGTTTATTTAGACAATGAAAAAAAATAGCCTCTTGGGTGACTGTGGGTTTGTAAATATAATCGTAAAAGTTTTCGTTCTGGGATTGTTTGCTTGTGCATCTTTATTAACCTGTTAAGTCGTTGGCTTGTCAGAAAATTGACGTTTAAAAATATTCTTTGAGGAGCATTACAAGTTCGCCGTGGCGTTCGGGCGTCGTGTTATTTATTGGCTTCGTTAGCATCTGTCTTCCCGAAGTGGTACCAAAGCCGGTCCCTTGGCGAAGGGCCTTGCATGTGACACTCTTGCCCTCTAGTGCCTCAGCAGCTCGGTAGCAGTCTGATGGCTAATATTAATAAGATGTTACATAACGCCAGGGTGCTGGGCCAGCTCTGGTGTTGCTGGCACTTGTGAAGCCAAGAAGCTTGAGCTGATGGTAGCCGGTGCTGCTGTTTCAGCTTCTATCTATTCAAAGTTTGTCAAGCCATTTTCAGCCCTCTGAACTTTAATTCCAGGTAAGTGTATCCATTTAATTTACACTGGATGTTAATGACCCACTGATAAATGTAGGGGCTTTTAGCAAGAAATACTTTGTTTTCAACTAATCTAAGTATTTCAGGATTGAACAGGTGCCTCCTTTTATTCTTAAGAAATAGAGCATTTGGATCAAATTAAATGAAACAAAAGACTGTCTTATCATTCAGGGTAATTTTAAAGCTTCTTTTTTTTAAGATTGAAATATTAAGGAGGTGTCTCCTGATAGTTGTTTAAGATCTGCACCACCAACTTTTAATTACTCTGCAGTAGGTTTATCAAACAGACCATATGTCTGTTGCCCTAGTAGAATTTTTAAGTAACGTCAGAGATTTAAATTTTAACACCTACCTGTCTATACAACCATGAACCTCAACAAAGCTTTCTTTGGATGTAATTCATTTTATAAATTCTATTTAATATTGTACAATTAATAAAGTTTAATGTAGCTCTAAAGAAATAATCTGAGTGTTAAATGCAGAAGCTTTAAATGAAAAGAAAATAGAAAAATCTTGTATTTACTGGAGCTACTTTTTGAGAGGGGGCAGGGAAGAACCAAGTTACATTATTTAAAGAGGTTACCCAGATCATTTTCCAACTAGCTTTCTAATATCTGGACACTTTTTAAACCTCAAAGTCATTTAAAGTTCAAATTTTATCTATAATTTTATAAAATACTGGGAAATATCAATGTATGTAATCTGGAAGAATTTTGAAGGTAATACTTTCAAACAGTAAACATGTATTAAAATACAAATCAAATATTAAGTCATGTGTAAATCTAATCTCGAGCCCATTCTTTTTTAATTGTCCTTAGAAAATATATTCTCAACTACTGAACATGCTTTTATCATAAGACAGCAGAATGATATGGAAAAGAAACCGTTTTTTTTTTTTCTTTTTTCTTCAGTTTCTTCAGTTATCTCTCCCTATCAATATTGTATGTAGGAAGTTTTCAAAAATGAGTTTGAAAGAGACTCTTTTTAAAAATAATACTGAATCTATCAAGAAGCTTGCCCTAACACAAGCTCTATTGTTTTATTATTTTTCCTCTCTCTAGTTAATGTAGTATCCTGCCATCTCTATTTTTCTATATGATCTTGATAGTAAAACAGCAGACTTACTTCTTTGTGTAACTAAATGTTCATTTTTAAGTCAGTCACTTGCGTTACTAATTTCATCATAGTCTTCAGAATGAGGTATTCTCAAGTTACTAAAATGTTTTCAATAAAGTAAAACTTTTATCTTTTCTAGAAATATCTGCTACAGAGTATGTGGGTTGAGCTCTAATGTACCTTCTCTTTCAATAAATTTTCTTGAAAAAGTATTAACTTTTAAGGATCACAGTAAATATTAGAGTAAATTTGATTGCAACTGAAAAGTTTGTTAAAAAATAGAAGAAGAGATAAATAAACATGTGAGGATCTTTTCCTAGGCCATATATTTTGCTGAAGAAGATAATATAAGCTAGGATCTACATATTTAATGGTTTTCCTATTATTTCAAGATTTTAAACCATAAAGAGATTATAAATTTTTCATTTAATTCTGGGAATCTGATTATGTCATTTTCTTGGAACCTCGTTGAGTCTTAGCTGTTCTTGGGTGACTAGGACCAACTTTTAAACTTAATGTGCTTTTGTTGAGGTATAAATACTTTAAAAGAAAACTGCATCTGAAAACCTTGTGATTTGTATGCAATATAAAAAACAGGGAAATATAATAAAGAATAAAAACACTGTTCAGAATTTTAAGAATGCCTTGGACTTCTAATTGCATGAAAGTTTAGACAACAGAGAGAAGGACTGGAAGTTGACTGCCCATGCATTTGCTGTTGGAGATAAGCGTTCACAGTGAAAAGCCTGAACTCTGAATGCCTGTCCTGATTATGGGATGCTGCCAGGCCACAAAAGTAACAGCCACATTCTAATGATAATTAGTCTGAAGAAGACTCAAAATTATTTTATGACTTAAATTTCTAGGATTGTAAGATTCTGTTAGGATTTGGAATTTGTCAGTTTGTGTGTTTTTAGTAAAAACCTGTATCTTTAGGCACCTGGATATCACAATGAGTGATTTAGCCTTTGCTATTACTCTAAAAATTTCTCATCAACTTCATTTAAGTATGTGACTAGAGAAAAGGAGTCAGGCGCTACTACAATTAATGTCTATAATAAATCATCTCACAAAAATCTCAACAAATTACTGAGGGCTTTTTCTCTCAATTACGTGTTGCAGAACAGGAGCTTAAAAAATCAACTCTTATAGTTCTATCTTAAAACTTCCAGTGAGCTCAGTGATCACTAGATATTTTACGTGTATTTTTATTTTTAATATCTGGTTATGTTTGGATATAGCATGAAAGTACATCTGGATTCTGGGCCTGGTTGTGTCAAGATAGGAATGAGCTTGGACAGCTCCCTTGCTGGCTCTGGACCTTGGTTTCCTCACCTAAAATTGAGGATATCAGAGGCCCTTTTCTATACTGTTTGTTGTTTAAAATTGTAGAAATTTCTCTACAAGATAGGATGAGTACACATGAAAAGGTGTTGTACAAAACTTAACTTGTTGATAAGTGCTGCTGTCTAGACTTTTACTAGTAGAGATATAAGTTATTAAAATAGCAGTTCACATTCATATATTGGTGACCTTGTCACAGCTGTTGTTCTAAACCCTTCATATATTTTTACCTCATGTAACATTCACAAAGATTGTTTATGGTATAGACTATTCCCATTTCACAAATGAGAAAGTCAAGGCACTGAGAGGCTACCATCTTGTCTGCAATCATGTTCCCGGGAAATGGTTTTAGTCTGGCTCAAATGCATGTGCCTTTTTTTTTCTTTTAAAAAATATTTATTTGTTTTTTTTTAATTTTTAAAAATTTTTTATTTAGTAAATATAAATTTTCAAAGTACAGTTAATGGATTACAATGGCTTCCCCCCCTTAATTTCCCTCCCACTCACACCCCTCCCATCTCTCGCTCCCTCTCCCATTCCATTCAAATGCATGTGCCTTTAATCTCTATTCTACATTGACCTTCAAAGATTGTGTGTGATATGCTTCTTTTGTTAAATGGTTATTGATTTATTGTTATCTGCTACAAAGAGAGAGAGAAAGTCTTCCATCCCCTGGTTCACTCCCCAAATGCCTGCAATAGCCAGGGCTCGGCCAGGCCAAAGCCAGGAGTGGGATACTCTGTATGAATCTCTCATGTGGCTGGCAGGGGCCCAAACACTTGAGCTATCATCTGCTGCCTTCCAGGATGTTATGCATTATGTTATTCATTAGCAGGAAGGTGGATGGAAAGTGGAGCAACCAGGACTCAAAACCAGCAATTTAGTACATTGTGCTGGCATTGCAAGCAGCAGCTTAACCCGGATCACCACAAGGCCCACCCCAACATACCTTTTGATATAATGTGTCAAGGTCATGGACCTCTGCAATCATTTCTACCATATGAAAGAATCATTCCTTTGTTCAAGAGATGTTTATTAAGCACCCACTCTGTACTAAGCATGAAGCAATACCTAGGACAAATAAATGTAGTATCTTTCCTGATGAGAGATATGCAGTTTCATTTAGGTGATTTCTTTCTCCTTTCCTACTACCCAACTTGGGTTGTGTGTCACCTGTTTTAAAAAGTGCCCAAGGTGACAAAGGAGGAATTTATCTGACTTCTTCATTAATGAATCTAGAATAGAGAATGATAGAACCATACTTCCAGCCTCCTTAGGACTTAGTATCATATTTCTTCATTGTTTCTTTCTGGTTTTTGGCAGTGTCTTCTTTCTGCAGATTGGCTGCCTTAACTTCTCTGGTTCATGTAACCTGCCCTAAAACAGCAGAAAATTGATCTGTAACTTTGCTTCTTATGGTCCAGGAAACCAGTGAGAGGTTGGGTTACCACACTCTTATTCTCATAATTCTGATGATGGACAAAGATCATGAAGGGGTGGATTAGATGCTCAAAGCTGCATTGACATCACCCTGCTGTTCTGCATCCATTCTAGTTTAGTATAAGAAGATATAAACAGATATTTCCCCCCTTAAATCATACAAGCAGAACAAACGACAAACAGCAGTAAAATAGTTCTCTTCTTTTGCCTTGCTGGTTGGCATAAAACTGAGGGAGGTGAATAAAACGTATTCTTTCCTTCGTAATTTTTAAATACAAAGAGAAAGGGAACATTACAATAGAAAGTCATTTTCCATGTAATGTACCAAACAAAGCTAATGCCCCCAAGTGCAGCTTTTCCCTCATCCATCTTTTTAAAATCCCAGTTCCAGAGACAGAGTGTATTCTTGGTTGTACTCCATGCTAATCAGCTTCTTACTTGCCTACCACAGCAGGGTTCAATTAACATGACACAGTTTCACACATTCTTTCGCAAAGAAAAGCATGTTCTTTGTCAATTTTTAATATTACTAAATTACTTTCAGCAAATTCATGTAATATATTTGAAGCCTCCAAATGCATTTTTCAACACTATAAAATACAGTTAATTTTGAGAAAGGGGAATCTTGTCAAGATCTCTTAAATATCTTTCATTTATGTGAGAACCTGAAGTTCTTTAGTTATTAATACTCATTTTCCAGATGGAAATTTTTTTCACATTTCTTGTACTGCCAACTTTAAAATGATTCTCTTTCATTTAGAAATTGATTTTTACTTTGGGATGGTAGTGGGTGTTAGTGGGGGAGAAAATATAGGTTACATTGACAAGTAGGTACTTCCTCTTAGAGATACTGCATTACTTTGCAAGTATGTTTGTTATAAATTCAGTTCTTCACTGTGCATATGGAATGGACTGTGATTCCAATAACTAATTGCTCCCTATGCATTTTGTTAATAATTATATAATGACTAATATTTTCTTGGTGGAGCATTTATAAAAATAGATGCATTGCAAAGCAGCTCTAACCACACTGAATTTTGGAGAAACTCAGAATGAAAAAAAAAAAAAAACAGGTATTTGAG